AATAATAATAATAATAATAATAATAATAATAATAATAATAATAATAATAAAAAATGAATGAATGAAAATGAGATGGAGATTGATTGAGGAAGATTCTGGTATCAACCTCTGGCTTCCACACTCTTGTGCATACACCATCACATGCACATGTGCCCACAAACTCATACACACACACCAAAAAAGTATAATACTTACAGGCCGTGACATTGGCTGTCTCCAGAAAAGTAGATAGCCTGAATTTGACTACCCTGAAGAAAACCTCACCCTGAGGCAAGCACTCACTCAAAGCCCCACAGCCTGAGAAGAAAAAAAATTTAAGTCATATATCTATCAGATAAAGTTTCAAGGTCCTGAATATATAAAGCTCTCTTAAGATTCACTAAGTCCAGCAACTCAAACGAAAAATAGACAAGTGATTTGCACATTTTCCCAAAGAGAAGAGCTAATAGGAATATAGTGATGCTCAACATTCATAATTAACCATTATGGAAACACAAATTAAAGGTACGAGTTACCACTTTGGTGTCTAGGGTGGCTAAAGCAAAGAATCTAGAAATAAAAGCTTTACATTTGGGCTGGAGAGATGGCTCAGCCATCTTCCAAAGATCCTGAGTTCAATTCCCAGCAACCTCATGGTGGCTCTTAACTATCTATAACGAGATCTGGTGCCCTCTTCTGGTGTGTAGGCACACATGCAGGCAGAGTAGTCTATAAATAATAAATAAATCTTTTTTTTTTTTAAGGCTGTATACTCTGCTGGAGAGAACATGAAATGGTTTGGCCACTGACAATATAAACAAAAGGCAAATTTTTGTAATTCAGGCTTCATTCATTTTATTTGATCCCATCTCTAGTCCCTCTGTGTCTACCTTTTTTCTACTATCTTGACTCTTTGGACTGGCAAGACAGCCATCCTCACTGTCTCCAAAATTCTGGAAATACATAATTAAAAAATCAGCCAGGTGGTGGTGGCAGCTAGTCCCAGCACTCCAGAGGTAGAGGCTGGTGGATCTCTGAGTCTGAGGTCAGTCTAGTATACAGAGTGAGTTCCAGGACAGCCAGGGCGACACAGAGAAACCCTGTCTTAAAACAAAAGCAAAACAAGACAACTTTTAAACTTATACCTACAATGTATCTAATTGCTATGACAGCAGCATGTAATGAGTTATTGTTTAATGAATTAATGGAAATGTTAAAGCCATGACAGTTTTAATTTGTAGCACAGTAATTAGTAATAGTTGAAACCTACATTAACAAAGGCTTTTGGGGAATACATATATGCATATTAAAAATTTATATATTTATTATTTATACAGCAGTCTGCCTGCATGTGTGCCTGCACACTGCACACTAGAAGAGGGCACCAGATCTCACTATAGATGGTTATGAGCCACCATGTGATTGCTGGGAATTGAACTCAAGACCTTCAGAAGAACAGCCAGCACTCTTAAACTGTGAACCATCTCTCCAGCTCTATTTATATTTTACACATATTTGACTCAAGGTTCCCTGTATCTCAGGCTAGACTGAAACTTACTATGCAGCTAAGGATAACCTTGAATTTCTGATTCTTCTGCCTCTCCCTCCCCAGTGCTGAGATTACAAGTGTATGCCACCAGACCCAATTTTATGTGGTGCTGGAGAATGAACCTATGGTAGACAAGCACCTACTCACTTAGCTACATTCCTACCCCCTCTTTCTTTTTCTTTATTTTGGTTTGGGGCATGTGTTTCTCTCTCTCTCTCTCTCTCTGTGTGTGTGTGTGTGTGTGTGTTATATGTGTGTTTGAGCTCAGAGCCCAAAGGAGAATGCTGATGTCCTGTTTTACCACTCTTCCCCCCTTTTTGCCTTATTACAGTTTGCTTTTTATCGCTGTGATAAAGGCCATAATCAAAGGCAACTTCCATCATAAATGAAAGTCAGGGCAGGAACTGGAGGCGGGAGGTGAAGCAGAGGCTAAGGAGGAGTGTAGCTTACTGGCTTGCTCTCACTTAGCTCTCTTTCTTACGCCATCTAAGACAACATGCACGGGGATAGCAGCCACCCATATGAATCATTAATCAAGAAAATAACCCACAGGATTGTTTACAGATACCAATCTTATGAAGACACTTTCTCAATTGAGGTACCCTTTCCAAGATGACTCTAGCTTGTGTCAAGTTCACAAAATGAACCAGAACATGTTGAGACAGGGTCTTACCGAGCTTTGAGTTGGGATGGAATCCAGCAAGCCCAGGCTATAACCCCAACCTCTACTCTCCACAGCATGGAGTTATTTCATGTATGGCTTTTTTTTTTTTAAGATTTATTTATTTATTTATTTATTTATTTATTTATTTATTTATTCATTTATTCATTTATGTATTTATTATGTACACAGTGTTTTGCCTGCATATACACCTGCACGCCAGAAGAGGGAACCATATCTCACTATAGATGGTTGAGAGCCACCATGTGGTTGCTGGGAATTGAACTCAGGACCTTTTAGGAAATGCTCTTAACCTCTGAGCCATCTCTCCAGGCCCTTTCGGTCTTTTCAAGATAGGGTTTCTCTGTGTTTCCCTGGCTGTGCTGGACTCACTCTGTAGACCATGATCTCTTCAAACTCAGAGATCCACCTGCCTCTGCCTCCCAAGTGCTTCAGTGTCTGGTCTCTTGTATCCCTGGCTGGCCTCAAACTAGCCATGTAGCATAGGTGGGCCTTACACTCCTGCTTCTATTTTATTGTATATGTATGAGTGCTTTGTCTGCATGTGCATCGTGTGTGCGCCTGATGTGGCAGAGGTCAGAGGATAAGGTCAGTTCCCGGAACTGTAGTGTCACCACACGGGTGCTAGCAACTGAAGCCTGGGGCTCTTGGTCCTCTGCAAGAGCACAAGTGCTCTTAACCGCTGAGCCATTTCTCCAGTCCCTGATTTTTAACTCTTGGTTCATGATGCATGCATTGCTTTTAGTTAATAATCAACAATTAAAACTAAAATTATACTGTAAAAATGTTTTTATTACATTTATTTATTTATGGGTGAGTGGGTGCCCATGGGCTTGCATCCTGCCTGTCGGAGTCAGAGGACAACTTCCAGGAGTCGGTCTCCCCTTCCACCATGCGTCTTCCAGGGCTTGGTGGGAAATGCCTTTCTTTACCCGCTGAGCTATCTTGCGGGGGCCCCAAAGTTGTACTTTTAATAACTAGATATAGATGGGAAACTGAAGTAGGCACTAGGAAAGTACTGTTAGTTGACACCTACACACACACACAGTACAAGCAAGTTTTCCTCGCCTGCCTTAGTCACCATCACTCAGCTTCACTTCCACCCGATTCTGTTCCTCTGAGCTCAGTGCCGCCCTCCCCAAAGTCCCGCCCACCACCTCCTAAGGCCCCACCTTCATCACTTCCTCTTTCTCGATTTTCCGGGATCACCCTACGCTTCCAGCCTTCCTCTACTCAGCCCCGCCCTCAGCGACCCGCCCACTCTCCTCGACACGCCCCCTTGCGTCACGTCCGGTATCCATATTCCCTCACCTACTACCCCTTGCTCCCGCCTTCACTCACTTCCGGTAGTCGTCGTTGCCGCTGCCGCTGCTGCTGCTGCTGCTGCTGCTGCTGCTGAGGCTGCGGGCAGAGGCCGGAGGACCGGGCGGCGGCGGCGGCGGCGGCGGCGGAAGCGGGAGCGCAGCGAGACGACCGAGCAAGAGCCGGAGAGCTGAGAGGCTAGAGCGCTCTTCCGCCCGCGAGAGGAGCCAGAGCCGCCCGGCCCCGCCGCCGCCGCCGCCGCCGCCGCCGCACAAAGCCTCAAGCCCGCGCCGGAGCCATGTCCGCGTCGGCCGGCGGTGGTCACCAGCCCAGCCAGAGCCGCGCCATCCCCACCCGCACCGTGGCTATCAGCGACGCCGCGCAGCTACCTCAGGACTACTGCACCACGCCCGGGGGGACGCTGTTCTCTACAACGCCGGGAGGTGAGCAGCTCCGGGCCTGCCCGCCATCGGGTTGGCGCGTGGCACTGTATACTCGACCTACAGCTTCCTCTCCGCCGCCGGACTGTGCTACAGGCCGAGCACTCTGCGCGGCGGGGCTTGCCTGTGGAGCTGCCCTACGGGCTTTGGGGGAGGGAGGTCGGAGAGAAAGAAATCTGGCGCAGAACCGTAAGATGACTCGTCTGGCCGCGCTTAGAGTCCCGGGACGAGGCTGGCATGCACTGTGTATACCTCGCCCAGCGTTATCCTCCTTTGACAGCATTGTTTACTTTGTTGGAGGAGTCATCACTGGTCGGGGGAGCCCCAGACCGGGAGAAGTGGGGGTAAAATAGCTCCTATGCTGTCTCCTTTGTGGAGACGCGGTCAGTTTTCAGACCAGAGCTTTCGGGGAGCAATTCTAAGATTGTGGAAGGGTGCTTTGTCAAACAGCACACACTATTCAGGTTAGGTTGCTTGATCCTAGGGAAGGGTCTTGTAGAGAGAGGCGGCGTAAAGGGAGATTCCTGGCATTGCTTTTCAAAAGATGGCCCTAAACTGTTTACTACCAGCACTGGAGAAAAGGTGAAACGTGTTCAATTGGTCACGAGTAGAAGGAAGCGCAAAGGTTGTTTTTCTCCTTTCTGGGCCATTCTCTCGAGGGAGGAGCCTGGAAAGGGTTCTTCAGGGCCTTAATGAAGGGGACTGGCCGTCATTTTCTAATCTCAGAACTTTGCCGCCTTTTGGTGACCTGGGATCTGGCCTTTGGCTAGAGGGTGAAGATTTGGTTAGCAGTCCCTGTAGTTTATGGAGTTGGTAGTCTTGACCATGGGGTAGGGGTCTCAAGTTCACTTCAGCCAATCACTTGCAATTGGGGCTAGTCATCCTATAATCTTGTGTAATGAGAAGGTACAGAGTAAGAGGACCTGCTTACCAACACCAAGAGATAGCAACCCAGAAGGCTGTGTGTGGTAGCTTTGGGCTGTGATCCCAGTACTCCAGGAAGAAGCAGCAGGAGGATCGCAGCTTAAGGCCAGCCCCAGCTACATAATGAGCTCAGCGACAGCCTGTGCTATGGTGTCAGACCCTGTCTCAAAACAAAACAAAAAAATCAAAGCAAACAAATCTAGGCGAAAAGTTGGCAGAGGATCTAGCCAGGCCAGTCTAGAAAGGATGGCAGAAAAGGATGAGTGCCCTGAATGACCTTCAGAATGACCCAGGCAGGAGGAAGTTCTCGTTTCTTAGGGAGAGTCAGGTTCAAGAATGGGCAAGACAGGTCAGCTGTTGAGGAAGCAGTGGCTTAAGTTGTTGAAGAAACCTTTCTGGTTTGGTCTATTGAAGACCGACAGGTTTTAGTCTTTCGTTCCTTCTATTTGTTGAGGCAGTGTTTCACCATATGGTTCACACTACTTGGACCTTTTTATGTGATCCTCAAACCCACAATCTTCTTGCCTCTGCCTCCTGCATGCTGGGATTTACTGGTGTGTGTCGCTCCATATTTGGTGTAACAAGAATCATGAGATATGTTGGTAAGCCCAGATGGAAGTGTCTTAACTTGAGCTGGTAACTTTTAAGAAACAGATTAGTGGCCAGTACAGGCGAGGCAAAGGCAGGTTGATCTCTGTGAGTCCAAGGCTAGCCCATTTTACTTAATGAGCTCCAGGACAGCCAAGGCTCCGTAGTGAGACCATGTCTTACAAAAAAAGATTTATTTCTAAGGTGGTGGAGAGAGATGTTGTCTCCTCCCGAGTTCTTTGTGGCATTGGTCAGCAAGGTACACATGCTTGTAGCCGTTCAGAACACATGTCACAGTAACAGGTGCATTGAATTTGCTTGGGGAGGAACCATACTTTTAGCAGGATGTTAATCTTTCTCTCCTGAGGGAAGATTCAGAAAGGGAAAACCTCGTGGTCCTATTTCAAACGCTGAGCTGCTGTGCTTTTAAGAGTAGGAAAGGCACATAGTCTTTAAGCCTTGCCCAAAGACAGAAGCGGTCTCAGAAGTGCTTGGGAAGGTCTGCTGAAATACCGTCATCTGTCCTTCTGCTGCAGAGTCACAACTGCAGCGAGTACTACTTACCCTGCCTCTGGAGAGCTTCTGCACATAGCTGTTTGTTTGTTTTGGAGGTAGGGTCTCACTTTATCTCCCTGGCTGTCCTGGCACTCACAGAGATACACCTGCCTCTGTCTCCCAAGCAGTGGCATTAAAGGGCTCCTTGCCTAGCACAGCCTTTGGATATTAGTGCAGGACAGCTTGCTTCCTGTTTGTAAGGAGATGGCACAATAGAAGTTGGAGCTGCGAGCCCTTTTGAGTGTTTGAGGGTTTTTTTTGTTTGTTTGTTTGTTTGTTTTTGAGACAGGGCCTCATTGTGTAGCCCTGTCTAGTAGACCAGGCCAGCCTCAAACTCAGTGGTCCCTCCTGCCTCTGCCTCTCTAGTGCTAAGTTTAAAAGTATGTGCCACTAATGGGCCCACACCTTCAATCCCAGTGCTTAGGGAGATAGAGGCAGGTAGAACGATGGGAGGCCAGCCTGGTCTACAAATCAGCCAGGACAGTCGAGGCTCCACAGAAACTGTCTCAAAAAAACAACAACAACAAAAGTATGTACCACCATGGCCAGCTAAGTAGTCTTTATAGCAGATAGCTCGGTGCTGTCTAGGTGTGCAGTGTTTATTGATGTTTTCCCCTTTGGAATGATTTTTAAGTGGCCTTTATTGGGGCTAGAGAGGAGCCTCAGCAGTTAGGAGTGTGCCTGCCAGTCTTGCGGAAGACCTGAGTTCAGTTCCCATGATCCACACTGGGCATCCTGTAACTCCAGCTCCAGGAGATCTCATGTTCTTGTCTGTTCTTCACCAGCATCTGCACACTTGAACATACTCACTTTGAAAAAGAGGTGTATTAGTTTGTGGGTGGGTGTGTCAGAGGAGGTCAGAGGGCAACTTTTGATCTCCTTCCACTGGAGTTTCTGGGAGCAAACTCAGGTAATCAGGCTTGTGTGGTTGAGCACCTTTACCTATGAGTTATCCCACTGCCTCCTACTTTGGAAATTTTCTTCCCTCTGATGCTTTATCTCTTTCTCTCTCACTATGTCATTTCATCTCCGTAGATCTTCAGTGGGTTTTATGGGCAGCACTTTACAGGAAACTAGACAGCAGGCCCAGACAGGTGGCACGGGCCTGTAAGCCCAGCACTATAGACAAAGAGAAAGAAAGGATCAAGAATTCCAAGCCAGTTTATGCTAGATGGTTAGGCCAACCTGGGCTACATGACACCCTGCCTCCAAAAAATATTAAATGTAGTCCTTGCTCCTCATGGGCTTCAGATCTTGATTTCAAAGGAATGGAGGCTTCCGGTAGGATTTGAAGTTTGCATTGGAACAGCATAGCCAAGTGACTGACTTACATATTTCAGACCTGAAAACCTCAGGCTTGGATTGGAAATTTCTGTTTAGTGAGAAGGGAAGGGAGTGCATTTCCTGCCTCAGGCTTCTGAAAATCTGGTGTCACACCCTTGGGGACCATTTCAGGATCTTGTTTGATTTGTTGAATGCCTTGTAAGATTGGCCTTGGTAGGGCAAGACTCCTTTATTGGTTGGAGACCCAGAGTAAGCAGCCCACCTGGAAGGTTTCTTAAATTTCCCCTCTGTGGTTTGGAAATGAGAGCTGAGCTAGAATCACACTTGCTGTGACATTCTTGAGCTGCTTTTGCTGATGTAAGGGGACTCTTCTCATTACTGAGGGACAGGAAAGATTGTTTTCTCCTGTCTATCCATGGAGCAATGGATGGTAGTTGGTTCACACAGTAGAAGCTGCTTCTGCCTTCATGGAAGGTGAGCTTGTTCCAGTAGTTGAGTTTTCTTATATACTACTAGGCAGGTAGCTCTGGAGGGAGGACCCTAATGAGTTCATTGTATAATTAAACAGCCCTGAGACCCAAAGAAACTAACCTGTTAGTACTGTGCAGCCAGTTAATGGCAGCAGGTGGCCCTGGAATCAGCAGTCTTACCACTACCTACTTTCTTCCTCCATCTTATTTGCTTACCTTTCTGGCAAAGGAACGTGGCAGACCTTTTGAGACATTGCTACCTCCTGAATGCTAGATAGCACCATGTTTCTCTGGAAAATAAGCGGAAGTATATGACCTATTTTAGCCTTCCTCTGCTTCTCTCCCTAATCACATTTTCAGCTATGGGAAAGAATACGGCACACAGTAGCAGAGAGCCACTAATTGCTGTGGTCTGAAATCTGTGTGTTCTCTGTCTCTCTTCCCCACCAGCTGGCTCCTGCCTCTCTGCTGCTGTTGGTGTCCTATGGTAGAGTTACCTGAGGGCCATTGGGAGAATCTGGAAATAAACGAGAAGGCCTCTAGAAGGGAATATATTCTCCTTTGGACTAAAGTGAGCTGTATCTAAAAGTATATTGGGAGCCGGGCATGGTGGTGCCCTAGGGAGACAGAGGCAGTCAAACTCTATGAGTTTGAAGTCAGCCTGGTCTACAAATTAAGTCTAGGACAGCCAGGACTACACAGAGAAACCCTGTGTGTATGGGGGGAGGGGGATGAATTGGGGAAATGTGCTTTTTCAGCTGGTCCTTTCTTGAAGGGATGAACAGTACTGGTTTCTCAGTCAGTTTGGCCTGTTTATTCTGAGCCAACAAAATCTCTTTCTTTAACTTCCATTCTCTTCTATTCCTTGTGTGTGCCCCTGTGGTCCTATGCAGAGGCCAGAGGAAAACATTGCATTCTCTACCTATCCTTTAGACAGAGTCTGTCACTGAACCTAGAGGTTTGGTTTTTGGCGAGACTTAGTTAGGCATTGTGGTCTGGTAACTCCCCATCCCCACCCACCCACTCACAAGCTCTGGGAATACAGGCCACCAAGAGTCACACCCAGCATTTACATGGGTGCTGGGGATCTGAACTCAGATCTTCACACTTATGTAACAAACGCTTTTGTTCACTGAGTCATCTCCCTGGCATTTTAACTTTAGCTACAGCGCTTTATTATTG